TTTTTTTTTTTTTTTTTTTTTTTTTTTTTTTTTTTTTTTTTTTTTTTCGTCCTGTGTGGCTGCGGCGTCTCCTGCTGCTCCCGTTGCTGATGCCACCCACAACCGTCCATCCTGACGCACGCAATCCTGCCACTGCCAACATCTGGTCAACATGATGGATGCCCCCCCATTCTTGCCTTCCCTCCCATTCTTTAATCTTTATCCAAAATCTCCAACACACTTTTTCAATCCCTTTCTCTTTCTGTTCCTTGCTCTCTCTCTCTGTGTTCCCTGATCATCACCTCTTTTCTTTTTCTTTTTTTCCCATCCCTCTTGTGCTTTTCTCTTTCGTTCTCCACTCTTTCCCCTCCTAGCACCATGCAGAGTTAAGAGAGCACCATGCCACCTCCGGTAAGCCAGTGACCTTTCAGAGGAAGGGCTAAGGGCAGGGCACACAGTCAGGGGAAGGGTCAGCGTGGGTATTTAGGTGTAGATAAAACATGAAGGGAGTGTGTGTGTTTTTTAATGAAGGCGAAGAGCTAATATAAACGCACCCATTTGACACAATCTCCTCTGACAAATGCTCTTTCAAATGTTTATTTTTCCCTGGTTTTTGTGTACTTAAACTGGTCTCAGGCTCCTAACAGTTTTCTTGATTGCTCTGCTAGTGCTTAAGTTTATCCAACCTCATTAATAAACCATTAACTGCAGATTGTCATGTAGCAGCATTTGCATGCAGTCTCTTTGACATTAACTTAGCTCTGGGCTTTCTTTGCACATGCAGATTTTTTAAGTTGTATAAGCCACCTATTTCCTTTTATTCCACATTCTTACCACTTGGTTTCTCACTGCTGTTGTGGAGGTTCAAAACCTTTAACCAACCATGCCTTGTGGGAAGACTGTGGAGTAGCTCAGCTAATTTGAACAAATATGTATAAATTATTTCATGATTTAATTATATCCACAGTTTCTGTCATTCCAATAGGCAGTTATGGGAAAGCCAAGAAGTTCCATGTCAAAAACATTCCCATATCTGTTGGTTAGTTTTCATACTCGCGCTGTGTTGAGCTTTGTATGGAGTGCTGTTAGAAACTACCGTATATTAAAATCATGCAGCATCTCCGTTAAGCAGGGATGAATCTCTTGTTTTAATTTATACATTTATTTTTGTCTTCTGCCAACCACAATGAGCTTCAGAGGGAACAGCTAGCCTGCTCGCTTCATTAGCACCAGGTAAACAAGGTGGAGCAATAAGGGACACGCACACATATCGAGCCGATCAGCGCTCATGAAATCGAAAGTTACACACGATATTAAAAATGTGTTATGAAACAGAGGGCCGCACCTAGCAGATGCTTCACAGGAGGGCTGTCTGTGGATGTTCTCTGATGTGAAGTAAGAAGGCAAACATGTCTGATCTCTCCTCTCATGTCCCTCCCTTTACCCCCCCCCCCCCCCGGCTGCCTCGTCTGCAGCTGCCGTAGTGTGCGGTGATGACACCGTCCTTCTGACACCAGGCAGGATGAGCCAGCGCCAGGGTAAGGACCGGGACAAGGAGAGGGAGAAGGAGGCGGGCCTCCAAACGCCCAACAGGGAGCTCGTTGCCAGCCCCTCCAGCCTCAGCCCGGGGATCAGTTACAGCCACGGTAAGATGCGCCATTCACCGCAAGCAGGCAATTTCCCGGCTTAAACTTGTCTTATAGGTCAGCTTTGGTTTGTGCAGTATTACACTGAGCTCCATGGATTATTTTTGGATGAAAATATACTCGCAGCTTAACACCTTTTCCTTTTTATGACGTCATATAATACATAAATGACTTCTTCAACTCTTTTAAGCTTTTTATGACCTGCACTCACACCACATTCTAATTCAGGAAGATAAAAATAGCTTATTTAAAAGAAAGAGAAACAAAGTATTATGACAAAAACTGCTACTGTAAATTCAGAAATACAAGTGGCCAGGGTCTTTATTTACTTCAAGTATAAAAACTATTTCTTATTTATTAATACAGATGGACCTGTGTTCTAATTTCCCGTTTTGTGAGCATATTGTACCATATTTCAGTATGATGTCTCTTAGTATCACCTCATGTGCTCCGATAAGCCAAATTAATTTTCTGTTGTTCACTGTACAAACTCAGTACTTCTTCCATGTTTACCTGTCATCTTGGTAAATAGAGCACAATATTAATTTCTACAGCAATGTTTTACATAACTACAATAACTTAGTTGTACAGTTGAATAAATCCAGCTCTTCCTGCATAGGTTTCATAGTGGAATAACAACTTTTGTCCTCCGCTCATAAGTTATAACACATACACTTCCTCAATGCAGGTCATTCAGCGGTTTTGTTGCTTTAAAAGAGAGTAATCCCTCCCTTACTTGTGATGTCTTCCTCACGTGACAGATTTGCATGGGATCTCCAACATTCACATTTTCTGGTGTTGCTAGTTCTGTGTGATGAGCCTGAAGGCCGAAGTCCAGTTCCTCTGCAGCAAATGTCCTGATAAAACACATGAATGTGACTTGCACTTGACATTGGACATTTGCAGCCCCCGGGACAGTGGTCAGTGTTATGTGTAGGCTGTACCTTTCCCAGACTCTCCTGCTGGAGAAACTATCACTCGGGCTCTCGATGAGTCCGTCTACTGATGCACTGCCACAAACCTGCAGGGTGATCAGGTTTATATCCTCTCTTCGTTGTTTACACCTCGCGAGTCTGTGTGTCATCGTGGCAAAATGTCTTCCTAGAGACACCAACTGTAGCGGGAACCACCACATCGGAGGTATTGAGTACGTTGCAGGTGTTTGTGTGTCTGTCTGTCCGTGGCAGGGCTCCATGATGAGCTCCTCACCGAAGATTTTAGGCAGAAACTTCACCAACACATTCATATTTTTTTCCAATCTTAACAGTATGACTGACAAATGCCTTGGTAATACATAGACAATTTACAATAACAATAAATAACAATGTGTTCTTTAAAAGGAAAAGTCACAAAGTGAATTAGTACTTTAAGAGAAAAAATACATTGCTTTTTAAACATAGAAGGGGGTAGGAAGTGTGGACCCCCCCCCCACACACACACACACACACACACACACACACACACACACTTTGTGCCCCTGGCCCGAATCCCGATGTTCTCTAGTTTTTGCTGCCTTTGTCATTCTATGACAGCAAATGTTTTACACACAGTAGATCACATAGGATCACTATAGCGGCTGTGTATGACCTATATGCCTAAACTCCAGATCCAGGTCAGACCCCTCATCATCGGACTCTTGTCTTTGCACAATAGATCCGTTGGAAAACGCCGTCAGATTCTGGCTGCATTGCTGTAAACCGTCTACTGGTTTCTATTGACGGCTCATGAGAGTCACACTACAGGGCCTCCGATTAGGAACAGATCAAATGGAGGATGCATAACCGTCTAGAAATAAGCTCACAGGTAGATCCGGCCAGGGTCTTACATCACCCCTCGTCTCACTGCTTGGACTTTGTTCTTGTGTCACGGCGCCCTCTTGTGGATTCTCTGCTGTGGTTAGTGAACTGCAAGATTTTGATGGACATTTTCTTTGTATCTGTTTTGTTCAGAGGTTCATTTGGTCAGGTATTTTTTTTTGTTATGACAGCGCTGCAAAAATGGGAAATTAAAAAATATATATACTCTAGTGGCGAGGCGAGATGCCTCAAGACTCAACAACGTTTTTTTTTTTTTTCAACCGAGTAGATTTGAATAACTTTGTTTGGCTTGTTGTTGTCTGGTAGTTTTGAGCCAGATAAAAGGGCATCTCACCAGATCCATATTCTGCCAGCATCCCAGATCACATGTGAAAGCTGTGTGGGCTTGTCTTCACTGCTAGATTTGATGAACAAATGGATTGCTGCTGGGTTGCACTTCCACTATTTCAAATCTCAAACTGCAAATGTGTTGCCTTTCACATTTGGTTGTTGAATTTGTAGGGTCACAGCTCAAAGATGATTGTGGAGAGCGAGAGGGAGAGAGAGAGGGAGGGAGGGAGAGAGAGAGAGAGAGAATAATAATGTGGGAAAAGAGCAATGACATGCAGAAAACAGTCCATCCGGGAAACGAACCTGAGACTCGCTGCTCATGACATTTAAGATCATGTCGTATGCGCTCTCAGCAATCGGCTGTAGCTTCACGCCACTGCATGAATAAATTTGATGTAACTTTTAAGAGAGCTGTAAACCTAAATCCAACCACAAGAGGGAGTGAGCATAACAGGAATAAATACACATCCCTCTTTCTTGACCTCCACACAAAATAACACACATTATATCCATCACATGTAGGCATGTTAGATGTATGTGCACACAACAATGTTAGTCATTTGCGTTAGCTTCTATTAAAGCTTTTTAACTGATGCCCAGCTTCTGTCATTGTTGTTTGTATATTTGTCAAGAGGAAGACTTCATGCACTTCACAACAAACATAGTAGTTGAAGTCCCCCTTTGTGCAGGTGTCCTACATCTGTTCTGCACTCAGTTTTGTCCAGTTGACTCATATTAGTACAATGAAAGAAAAAAACCTCTTTGGCCACTAGTCTTATTCAGCAGATCTACAAGCGGACGTGGCCTTTGTCTGTCCATCAACATCACCTTCTAAGCAGTACTGCATCCGTGAAGCACGAGTCGGCAAAACAGCATGGAAGCTTCTTTTTTTCATCCTCATCTCCCTGCAGCACAAAATGTGTATCTATGACAACGGATTTCCCTTCTGCTAGCCGTAGGTCCTACGTCAAAGTGATGACAGTGTATGCCTTGATTATTTTTTCTGGACCAATGTTTGAAGATACTGTCTTTTTTTTTTTCCTAAATGACTGATGTTTAAGTTTTCATCTTTACTCCAGAGTCAGAGGGTGATGACTGTTATTTCTGATTTGAGAAGTAGGTCGGACGAGTAACGTGTGAAGATGGATTATGACGATAGTTACGTCAGTCACTTCACCAATTTTTGACTATTTTGTGTACATCTATTAAATACAATCGATTGAAAAAAGAAATTTTGCGACAAAATACGTAAAAACACCAAGTGGTTAATACGTTTGCAAGGCACTGAAAGAAACTAAGGACCGAATCTCTGGCAAACACAACATCTAAAGTAATGCTTTTGTGGGATTCTTTGTGGAGGATCTCAGTTTTACAAACCTGGCGATCAATTAGTCGACAATCATATGAGTGTTATTAGACCACGAATTTCTTTGGTTGAGGACAGCCATCGCCCGGTATTTCCAATATTTCGGCGAAGTCCAATGTTATCCCCTGATGTGAATTTATCACAGATATATCATACATAGAGATGTTGCATATATTACACATATATATTTACATATAAGATGTTGTACATGTCACCCAATTAGTAACAAGCGAGCAAAGCAAAGTATGTTTTTTCAACCCTTCAAATGTCTCGTCGGTACATATATTTGTCACAACTCTTTAATTATTATTTTTTTCCCCAATCAAATATCACTGACCTAAAAAATATTTTGTCTATCTATTGGTCACACTCTAATAGAAAGTTATGTAAGATGTTGATATTATTTGTTTATAATTCAGACTACTTTCATAATGGAGCTGGAGTGGCGAGTGTTTGTCACATCCTCACGTACGCACAGACTTACTCTGGTGTCCGTAGTTTGGCTGCCAAGTGAGCCATTCTTTTCCATTATGACTCACTGAGAACCAAAAATAGACCCAGGAGGTTGTTTGACAAGGCTCCCTCAATCCGCTTTGGCGCTGCTCTCGCTTTGACCGCCTCTCGCTGACTGGCTGTCGTCTTCCCCGGTAAACGGGAGAGTCTACCTGTGCTGCAGAGCGAGGCCGCGGTGGCTGGGGGGGGCACCATGTAGTGAAGATAATAAGATAGTGAGAGAACCGAGAAAGAGATTTAAAAAACGAAGAAATTAAGAATATATTTGAATGGAAGTTAGTTGATCGGAAACGTGAGGTGGGGGCGCAAGAGCGAGAGAGCAGGTGGGGTCAGCATGGATTTAGACTCAGCCTCATGGATTATGCCCTGTCAGACGGGGTTAACCACAGCCAAGGGGGCTGGTCTTATCCACACTAACCAATCCGTTCCTTCTCCCGCTCACACTCTCATCCAATGAGCGCCTCAGCCCTGCGAGGCCTGAGCACTAAGAGGCACAAGGCTTGACAGCCGAGACGTGAATAAGGAAGAGTCCGTGGAAGTACAGGAGGACAGGACGAAGCGATGGAGAATATCCCGGCCTCGGGGCCTGAGCTCTGCCCGGACGACCGAAGGCTTGCCTGCACTGACACGACCTGGATCTAAAGCGGGAGGGGATCCTAGCATGATTTGGGCGATTTGGGTCCTGTCGACACTTGACCTTTGCAAACTTTTTTTCTATGTTTTAGCCTGAAGGAAAGCAAGGTACAGTGTGAAGTAGTGCCAACTGACAGGGGAGTGCTTGTTAGCGCTTGACGTCTGTGTTGTCCCAGTTCTACCTGCTCACGTGGAATCCCCCTCCCTGTGATGATTTCGGTATGTATGAAATGTCTATGTGAGGTGGCTCTCGTGAGGATAGAACAAAGATCACACCAAGGTGAAATGGCTTTTACTGACAAAATGTGGAGAGAAACTAGACCCTTGATCGTTGTATTCTT